CAGTCGTGGGGCTTGAACTTTGGGCCTGGGCACTGTCCCTCAGCTCTACCACTTGACCCTCAGCACCACTTCTGGTTTTCTGCTGGTTAATTGGAGATAAGAGTCTCATGAGCCGGGCGCTGGTGGCTCACGCCTGTAATCCTAGCTACTCAGGAGGCTGAGATCTGAGGATCGCGGTTCAAAGCCAGCCCGGGCAGGAGAGACCGTGAGACTCCTATCTCCAATAAACCACCAGAAAACCGGAAGTGGCGCTGTAGCTCAAGTGGTAGAGCGCTCGCCTTGAGCTGAAGAGCTGAGGGACAGCGCCTAGGCCCAGAGTTCAAGCCCCACAACCGACAAAAAAAAAAAAAAAAAAAAAAAAGAGTCTCATGGACTTTCCTGCCCAGGCTGGCTTTGAATCATGATCCTCAGATCTCAGGCTCCTGAGTAGCTAGGATTACAGGCGTGAGCCACCGGCTCCTGGCAGTAGATTCTTCTTGAAAGGGGCTTTTGACCACCGGACTAAGTAATACCAAAGTTTTTGCCTGCCTGCCTGCCTGCCTTCCCTCCCTCCCTCCTTCCTTCCCTCCCTGCTTCTTTCCTTCCACTGAACTGCACCTTCCTTTTCTTTTGTGGTAATATTTTAATTCTCATATGACCATTTTTAGTTTTGAGATACTGAGGTTAATGCACACAAAAGTTTCAGGGAGCTGGGCGCCATGGCTCATGCCTGTAATCCTAGCTACTCAGGAGACTGAGACCTGAGGATCACAGTTCAAAGCCAGCCTGGGCAGGAAAGTCCTTGAGACTCTTATTTCCAATTAACCACCAGAACACTGGAAGTGGCGCTGTGGCTCAAGTGGTAGAGCGCTTGCCTTGAGCTGAAGGGACAGTGCTCAGGCCCAGAGTTCAAGCCCCACGACCGCCAAAAAAAAAGTGTCAGGGGTTTGTCTGCATTGTGTGTGTGTGTGTGTGTGTGTGTGTGTGTGTGTGTGTAAGAGAGAGAGAGAGAGAGAGAGAACTGGAGCTTAAACTCAAGGCCTCCTACTCCCCCTTAACTTTTTCCCTTCAGGCTGGTGCTCTGCCACTCGAACCACACCTCTACTTCCAGCTTTGTGCTGGTTAATTGGAGAGAAGAGCCTCACAGACTTTTCTGCCCGGGCTGGCTTCGAACTGCGATCCTCAGCTCTCAGCCTCCTGAGTCGCTAGGGTTACAGGTGTGAGCCACCAGGGCCTGGCTTCAGCATTTTAATATCTTCATTTCCCCTAGATAGACGGCACAGAGATAACAGTTACCATTTTAACCAAATGTTTCCAGAGACTTCAGATTCCTAAGTTTCTCAGAACAGCCAGTGTCTAGAAGAATGGTTCATAAAACCCAGCACCTTCAGGGATCACACAAGGTCATGTCGAATCTTGGAGATTTGGGGACTTTACCAGGGTGCCAACAAGATGACTGGCCTTGACTTCACCCAGAATGAAGTGGCCTGCTCCCAAACTTGTAGTGGAACTTGAAAAGAGACAGTGGGTGGTGGCAATCCCAGCCGTGTGCCAGATCTCTTTTACTAGTTCCAAAGGTCACTTAGAGCCCCAGGACATTTGCAGAATCCGTTTGTTTGTGTGTTGAAATGTGGATTCAAAGGTTATTTTTAAGGACAACACTCTGAACCTGGCAGATCTACTAATGCTACAGGGCAGTTTTATTTTCATTTATTATTTTTTTACATTATTTTATTCTTGTGCCAGTCCTGCGACTTGAACTCAGGGCCTGGGCGCTATCCCTGAGCTTGTTTTGGCTCAAAGCTAGCATTCTACCACTTGAGCCACAGCACCACTTCCTGCTTTTGCTGAGTAGTTTATTGGAGATAAGAGTCTCACAGACTTTCCTGCCCAGGCTGGTTTTGAATCATGATCCTCAGATCTTAGCCTCTTGAATAGCTAGGATTACAGGCATGAGCCACTATTGCTCAGCTTAATTTAATTTAATTAATTAATTTATTTATCTTTGCCATTCCTAGGGCTTGCACTCAGGGCTCGGGCATCGTCCCTGTCCCTAATGCTTCTTTTTGCTCAAAGCTAGCACTCTACCACTTGAGCCACAGGTCACTTCTGGCTTTTTCTGTTTACGTGGTACTGAGGACTCGAACCCAGGACATTGCGCATGCTAGGCAAGCACTTTACTGCTTAGCCACATTCCCAGCCCTGCTCAGCTTTACTTTTATTTTTTAGTTTTAGCAGGCTGCCCTAGGCTGGCCTGGAACTTGAGATCCTCCTACCTCCGCCTCCCAGAGCACAGAGCAATCTAAATTGGATTCCTCAGCAAAAAGCTAGTCTGAGAACTAGACATGGATGGACGATGTGGAATCCCATCAAGTTCTGGGAATAAAACTCATTCATTTGTAAGTGTGGCCTAGGTTCTGGAGAATTCTGTGCCATAGCACTGAGAGCTTCCATCAACACATCTGGTATAAACCTTGATAGCAATGTGTGAAAAATGTTTGCTTGTGTGTGTGTGTGTGTGTGTGTGTGTGTGTGTCTTTTTAGTGCCAGCCCCAAGGCTTGAACTCAGGGACTGGGCCCTGTCCTTGAACTTTTTTGAGCTCTTACCACTTGAGCCACAGCTTCACTTTTAGCTTTTTTTTTTTTTGGTTCTTAATTGGAGATAAGTTTCACGGACTTTCCTGTCTGGCCTGACTTTGAACCTTGGTCCTCAGCTAGGATTACAGGCATGAGCTACTAGCATGAGGCCTATTTGTTTGCTTTCTAAAAACCTAATTTCAGGCCATGCCCCAGTAGCTCATGCCTATAATCCTAGCTACTCAGGAGGCTGAGGTCTGAGAATCACTTTTCAAAGCCAGCCATGGCAGAAAAGTCTATGAAACACTGATTTCCACTTAGCCAGCAAAAAAGCCAGCAGTAGAGCAGTGGTTCAAGTGATTAAGCATTAGCCATGAGGGGCTTAGGTCTGGAGTTTGAGTCCCAGTACTAGCATACACACAAACCACAATCTCAGCCTGGTGTGGTGGTACATACCTATAATCCCAGCACCAGGGAGAATGATGGGGGAGAAGCATGATTTCAAAACCCACCTAGATTTCAGTTATCTGATCTCTGAACTGTAAGGCTCCTTAGTAAGTTCCTGCCATATTTCAGTAAACTGAAGAACAGTTGGAGCTGGGTGGCAGTGGCTCATGCCTATAATCCTGACTCAGGAGACTGAGATCTGAGGATCACTATTCAAAGCCACCTGGGCAGGAAAGTGCCTGAGATTAATCACTGAAAAGGCCAGAAGCCAGTTGTAACTCAAGAAATAAGAGCTTTAAATTTTTTTTGGGGGGGGGGGGGTCCGGTCATGGGGCCTGAACTCTGGGCCTGGGCGCTGTCCCTCAGCTCTTCAGCTCAAGGCTAGCGTTATACCACTTGAGCCACAGCGCCACCTCTGGCTTTTTTCTTTTTGCTTATGTGGTGCTGAGGAATCAAACTCATGCATGCAAGGCAAGCGCTCTACCGCTGAGCCACCTTCCCAGCCCCAAGGGATAAGAGCTTTAGCCTTGAACATAAAAGCTCAGGGACATAACTCAGGACTGGTACAAAAAAAAAAAAAAAAAGCAGGAAGAAGAATTGTTGGATGAATGTGAATGTTCTGTTTACAGATACAGCCAGTGTAGACGGCCTGAGGCAGAATTCATTGGTTTGTGTATGCCAGAGGACAATGAGGACACAGTTTGGTGGAATCCCATCTGGTAAGGGGGATGAGGTTTGCGAGGCTGGCTGAGTCAGAGCAGCAAGGGCCTTGTGAGTTCTAATACAGCATGGATTCTAGTAGGTGTGGAACTGCATGTGAGTAAAAGTCCAAGTTTCATCTATCTATCTATCTATCTATCTTGTGGAACTACATGTGAGTAAAAGTCCAAGTTTCATCTATCTATCTATCTATCTATCTATCTATCTATCTATCTATCTATCTATCTATCTATCTATGTAGTCAGTTGTGGAGCTTGAACTCTGAGCCTGGGTGCTGTCCCTCTGCTCAAGGCTCAAGGCCAGTGCTCTACCACAGAGCCACTTCCGGTTTTCTGGTGGTTTATTGGAGATAAGAGGCTCATGGACTTTCCTGCCCAGGCTGAATGTGAATTGTGATCCTCAGATCTCAGCCTCCTGAGTAGCTAGGATTACAGACCCGTGCCTGGGGGGGCCTGACTTTTGTTTTTTTAATCAGCACAACCAGGATTAGTTACCACCTCACTAGCTCTAGTTCTGAGTTCCATTGATGCCAATATCTGCCCATCCCCACAAATGTCAGGGTATAGGATTCAACATCATGCTGGGTACTGGCAGCTTACATCTGTGACCCTAGCTACACAGGAGGCTGAGATCTGAGGATCATGGTTCAAAGCCAGCCCGGGCAGGAAAGTCCATAAGACTCTTATCCCCAATTAACCACCAAAAAATGGGAAGTGGCGCTGTGGCTCAAGTGGTAGAGCGCTAGCCTTGAGCTGAAGAGCTGAGGGACAGCGCCCAGTCTAAGTTCAAGGCCCATGACTTACCAAAAAAAAATATATATATAATTCAGCATCATTGCCAGTGGCTCATACATGTCATCTCAGCTGCTCAGCAGGCTGAGATCTGAGGATCGAGGTTCAAAGCCAGCGTGGACAGGGGAGGACAGGAGACTCATCTCCGATGAACCACCAGAAAACTGGAAGTGGCACTGTGGCTCAGAATGGTAGAGCGCTAGCCTTGAGCAGAAAAGTTCAGGGCTAGCTCTCAGGCACTAAGTTCAAGCCCCAGGACCTACCCAAAAAACCCCAACACAACTAAATAAAACAAAAAACATCCTGAGAGCCAGGTCTTCACAACAGAACTACATAGGGTTAGTCAGGCTATCACAGTCCAAGAGCCTCCTCCACAAAGTCAGGGCTCCAGGAGGGCAAAGCTCTTTAATTAACTTCCCGTCCCTCCCAGGCTCCGCCCCCTGCCTTGCTCTAGTTACAACGGAGGCCACCTGACCTAGTCTCCTGTCTCCAGCTGCCAGGGCTTCAGTGAGCTGACTATGAGGACCTGAGTGGTACAGAAGGGACCTGGCTGGAGTGGGACATGACTGAGCAGGTATTGTGTCTTGGGAAAGGATGGAAAGGCGAGATGAGGGCTGAGAGATCTCAGATGGGAAAGGGATGGCAAAGAGGAAAGTGGTCCGTGAGGGGGTAAAATGGCTGTAGAGGACTACACCAAGGCGGGGATTAAATGGTTTTGTAGTCCAATAAGGAAAAGAAGAGAAAAAGAAAGAAAACGGCCAGATTCTATGTCAGTTGTTGTGAGTTTCAGAGTTGTGGTGGAAACTGGCCCAGAACCTCTTTTCTGGTGTGGCTTCCTGGTCAACTGTCTTGGTAGAGCTCTGGGCTTTAAGGGAATGAGGTGCTGTTTACTGTGCAATTAGAAATTTGTGTCAAATGTTTCTAGTCCTAGCTAGAAGGAAGGTTGGCTAGAGCCCCACTTAATCTTTCTTTCTTTGGTTCATTTTTTTTTTCATTTTGGCCTATTTACAAGTGTTCTAATTTCATATTCACTGTCATTTGTGATTTTCCCAGGATAATGCTACCCTATTTTCCCCTCCCTCCTTTCCTTTCCTTCCTTTCTTCCTTCCTTCTTTCCTTCCTCCTTCCTTCCTTCTTCCTTCCTTTCCTTTGGCTGATACTGGGGCTTAATTCAGGACCTAGGCACTGTCCCTGAGATTTTTGTTGTTGTTCAAGGCTGGTGCTCTACCACTTGAGTCACAGATCCACCTTCAGCATTTTTTGGTTGGCCATAAGAGTCTCAGGTACTTTCCTGCCTGGGCTGAATTTGAACCACAATACTCATGTCAGCCTCCTGAGTAGTTAGGATTACAGGCATGAGCCACTGGCACCTGGCTGGCCTCACGTTCTGGACAAGATGCCTGCCTAGCTACTTGGAGTTGAAGCTAAGGCAAGTGATATATGTGTATATTAAATGAAAGGCTTTGTTTTGGACTATAGAATCCAGGTTTTATTTTGAGTTGGGAGGAATTGCTCAAATGGGTCTGATTCTGGGAGTCAAATCACTCTGGCTTTTGGGATGACAAAAACCTAGGTGCCTTTCAGCAGACGAATGGATCAAGAAAATGTGATACATACACAATTATTCAGCCATAAAGAAGAATGAAACTATGTTGTTGATAGGGAAATGCATGGAACTGGAGATCATTATGTTAAGCAAAATAAGGCAGGTCAGGAAAGTCAATATCACTGTTTTCACTCATGAGGAATCTATATATAATACAAATGTCAATTTGGAGTCGTACTGGTGGCCCACACCTGTCATCTTAGCTACTCAGGAGGCTGAGATTTAAGGATCGCAGTTCAGAGGCAGCCTAGGCAGAAATGTCTTTGGGACTCTTAGCTCTAATTCACTACCAGAAAAGTCAGAAGTGGAGCTATGGCTTAAGTGGTAGAGTACTAACTTTAAGCAGAAAAACTTAAGGGTAGGCCCTGAATTCAAACCCCAGGACTGACACCAAAAAAAAAAAAGAAGAAAGAAAAGAAAAAGTAAATTTGGGGAAGATGAATACGAAAGGGACAAGGAAAGGAAATGGATTAGAGTTATGATTCTAGTAGTACAGTGCCAGCAGGAGTACAGTGGAGAAGGAGGTCTAGGCCTATATTGAGTTCAAGTCCTATATTGGCACACAAGTACATGCATGCACGTGCATGCGCGCATACATACAAGACAATGGCAGGTACACAATAAGGCGAAAAGGATTTAGGATGCTCTTTAGCAGGAAGACCCCACAAAGTTGATTTGGTTTCATACACTTAACGATGAGCAAGTGATATATCCTGGAGATCACACCCATGGAGTCCATTTCTCCCTAGTAAAGTGATCTCCCTCAAAGACAGTGTCTTCTCCTGCACAATCACACTGCCACCAGTGTGAAGGTGCCGAGAGGAAGGAGGAAGTAGAAACAGTTGATCTAGGTGTGGTGGTTCACTCCTGTAAGCCTAGCAATTCGGGAGGCTTGAGGTCTAGTGGATCATGATTAAAGGCTAGCACGAGGAAGTAAAGTCTTGAACATTTTGCTGATTAGCAAAATGCCAGGTTAGGGTCATGGCTCAAGCATTATTTGAGCAAATGGGAATCTCTTGAGTTCAAATGCTGGTACCACCACCAAAACCCCACAAAAACTCTAAAACTCATATCCAACAACAGGAAACAACAACAACACAAGAAAGACAGAAATCATTTTAAAAGTACTGCAGGTTTAGAGGCCAGCATTGTTTGGTTGCACTTCTGAGCCACTGGGCTTAAGCATAGGTTCATGTTTGTACAAGGCTGGGACAGGCTTATGCTAACAATGTATTTATGGAGTGCTTTTGTTTACAAAATCCTTCTATTTTAATTCTCCTTTTTATCCATCCAAGAATAACTTTCTTATTCTTTCAACTAAGTCAAGTGGCTGTTTGTTTTGGACTCCATTAAAACCAGGTTCCAAAGTTTTGCCATGGCTGGAATTTATACAATCACTACAATTCCTGTGACTTTCTCCAAGTTTATTTTTATTGTTCAGTGAATGATAGCATGCAAAAGGCTTGGTAGTTCATGCCTGTCATTTTTGCACTCAGGAGCATCCTGACTTGAGGCGTGGGCTCTGGCTTTAAAAAGAAAAGAAAAGAGACAAGGAATTGGAAAAAGGGACAGAAAAACAAATATAAAACTTGATCTTGTCCAGCTTTTTAGTCTTTCTGAGGTGTGAATGATGGTTTCTCTTAGTTCTGAGTTGCATTTTTTTGGATAAGTCATAAAAAGTTCTGTTGAACTTTCTTTTCTTTCTTTTTTTTTTTAAATTTTGACTAGGTGGATAGTTTCTTTTTCCAAGTTTCTATTTAAGTTTTTGGGGGACAGTTGTTTCTTGGGCTGGAGCTAAAAATCTAAGGCCTCTCATATAAAAAGCCTATTAGTTATACTGAGGTAGGCCCAACCCTATCCAGTTTTTGTTTGGACTGGTAAGACTCTTTTTTTTCTTTTTCTTTTGCCCCAGTCCTAGACGTATTTCCTGCACTTTTGTGCTCAAGGCTAGTGCTCTACCACTTGAACCCTAGCTCTACTTCTGGCTTTTCTGGGTAATTTATTAAAGATACTTTACTACATAAGCTAGCTTTGCACCTCAACCCTCAGATCTCTCTCCTGAGTAACTAGGATTATAGGCATGAGCCACTCCCAGCTCCCCCAATTTTTTTTTTGGTCAGTCATGGGTCTTGAACTCTGGGCTTGGGCACTGTCCCTGCACTCTTCAGCTCAAGGCCAGCGCTCTACCGCTTAAGCCACAGCTCCACTTCCGGTTTTCCTGTGGTTTATTGGAGATAAGAGTCTCACGAACTTTGCTGCCGGGGCTGGCTTTGAATCCCGATCCTCAGATCTCAGCCTCCTGAGTAGCTAGGATTACAGGCATGAGCCACCAGTGCCCGGCTTCCCCCAATGTTTTTTTTTTTTTTGATTGATCATGGGGCCTGAACTCTGGGCCTGGGCACTGTCCTTGAGCTCTTCAGCTCAAGGCAAGCGCTCTACCACTTGAGCTACAGCACTACTTCTGGTTTTCTGGTGGTAATTGGAGATAATAGTCTCACAGACTTTCTTGCCCAGGCTGGCTTTGAGCCATGATACACAGATCTCAACCTACTAGGATTACTGACACCCAGCTCAGAAGTCATTTATTTAATGGTGGGTCTACTTTGTCAGCTATATGTATTTTTTTTTTTTTTTGGGTCCTGTTGTGGGGCCTGAACTCTGGGCCTGGGTGCTGTCCCTCAGCTCTTCAGCTCAAGGCTAGGGCTCTACCACTTGAGCCACAGTGCCACTTCTGGCTTTTTTCTTTTTGCTGGGGAATCGAACCCAGGGCCTCATGCATTGCAAGGCAAGCGCTCTGCCACTGAGCCACCTTCCCAGCCCCAGCTATATGTATTGTAAATGCCTTTTTTTTTCTTTCTTGTATTGGTGTGGGGCTTGAACTTAGGGCCTGGCCAGAGTTCTGAGCGTTTGTACTCAAGGCTAGCACTCTACCAGTTGAGCCACAGCTCCACTTGGGGCTTTTTGGTAGTTGATTGGAGGTCAGAGTCTCACACACTTTCCTGCCTGGGCTGGCCTGCAATCAGGATCCTCAGATTTCAGCCTCTTGAGTAGCTAGGATTACAGGTATGTGGCACCAGTGCCTGGCTCATAAACGTTTTCTAGTCTGTGGGCTAGTAGGTGCATTTACCTACAAAGAAAAATGGTCTTGATTTGAGAAGACTGAGGAAAAAAGCTCTGAAGAGTGTTTCCTCATAGCCTTTCTTCTGAAGTAAAGAAGCGAGTCATGTTTAGTCTCAGGTCAATTATCCAAAAAGGTAATAATTTAGCTCAGTTCAACTCACCATTAATGCACCAGTAACATTCTCCAGGGATTCCAAGGTGTGTGAGGCAGCTTCTCCCCATGAGGTGTTACAATTGAGCAAGAAAGGCAAGTAGGTCAACCAAGACCTGCCATAGACCGCGTTCAGGAATGTCTTACAGGCTGTGGAGGAAAGATGGAGGAGAAATAACTTGGCCCAAAGACAAGGCATAGAAGATGGCATGTCTGGAAGATGGACCAAGACTTCTCCATGATTAGTTAGGCTTTGTAAGAGAAGAAACAGGAGGAACGAAAACCCAAAGGAAAGAAATGTAGCTGGACACTGGTGGCTCACACCTGTAATCCTAGCTACTCTAGAGCCTGAGATTTAAGGATCATGGTTTAAAACTAGCCCTGGCACGAAAGTCCATGAGACTCTTATCTCCAATAAGCTACCAGAAAACCGGAAGTGGCGCTGAGGCTCAAGTGGTAGGGTGCTAGCCTTGAGCTGAAGAGCTGAGGGACAGCACCCAAGCCCAGAGTTCAGGCCCCACGACTGAGTAAAAAAAAAAAAAAAAAAAAAAGGTTTATGAGGCTGCCAGTAGCTCACACTATAATCCTAGCTACTCAGGAGGCTGAGATCTGAGGACCACGGTTCAAAGCCAGCCTAAGCAGGAAAGTCTAAGAGTCTCATCTCCAATTAAGTACCCCCCAAAAGTTGGAAGTATAG